ATAATATAGAAGAGTGAAGCCTAGGACGACCAGGGGCAAATTAGTAATTATGTTATTATGCAAGGGTAAAATTGTAATTACGCATAATTGATATTTTAACAAAGTAAGTTCCTTTTCCTTTTCCTTTCCCTTCCAAATCATTCCAGATCTCTCTCCAATACTTCCAGATTATGATTAACAATTGCTATTTGCTTAGGAGAGAGATCTAAGAGCCAAAAAAGAACAATGAAAAACTTCCTTGCATCTCTTCATCATATCTCTTCTTCCCGACTTCTCCTAAAGCTTGGGTTACGAGCTAAATTAACTATATAGTTCGAGATTTGAGGAAGATGACCTAAAAACTTCGTCTCTTTTTCAAATTAGAAACATTGGTTGTTGCTAAATCAAAATAGCCTTCAGTTTGGGGAATCTCAGTAGCTCCCATCCAAGGTTCAATTCTCCACCCACATTGTAATTTAATCCCCATTTTTCCTACCCCGATTTTATAAAAAAGAAAAAAAAAGAATAGCCTTCAATTCTCCCTATTCACTTTCAATAATATTTTTGCAGAGAAGCGTATGCATTCGATACAGTTCTTTTACTATTTTCAGCTTTCTTAACAGTTGCTTTTTGATCTCTTTGTAGGTGCTGATGTTTCAACAAACACTTAGAGCTTGTAATCTTTATGATTGTGAACCTGAAGGTATATATGATTAATTCCAGGTATATACTATCATATTTTCCGGAAAGCAGTAGCAAGTTACTTTTTTTTCATTGTTCCTTTTGGTATTTTTTTCTTTGTTCTTCTTATGATATTTATATGTTATATATTCAAATTTTCATTTAGATGGTGACTTTTGATGAAATAATTTTTTTTTGATGAAAAGATGATGGTGACTTAGAATTATATGCTTGCGAAACTTTGAGGATAGGAAGTTTTATTCCACTTTTGGATTTGAGTTGCTCATATGAACTTCCACAGAAGCTATCGCATTTATCACTAGGTTTTAGAGGGTGACTCCAGCCCCACCTCTATTTAGATATTGCAATTTCATTAATGAAAAATCATATGTATAGGACCAACAGGGCCAGTGGCTATGACTAAAATATATTTTAGAAGTTCATAGAGGTGTATTTAGTATTTACAATTTAGGCTATTTAGGCTTTAAACAATTGTTTAAATATGTCAGAGATGAAGTCATATTTGAGAAATATGTCATAAGCTATTTCCAATTATTCTATTATCCATTGTTTTGACTCTTGGGAAGCAATAAGAATAAGATTAAAGGAAGTAAGCACTAAAGTATTGAATAGAAAAACATAGTTATAAGATGTGGCATAGTTTTTTTCCTAAAGAATAATTGTCCGCCACAATTATAGATGGATAGCTTAAGTTGTATGGAATAAGAATGTCATCTATTGTACCTTATGTTTTCAAACACAATTGGCATGTGGGAGAAAGTCTTACCATATGACCTAATCGAATAAATTACTATCTAATATTTGCAGTATTTTTCTTAATCTATGAGGGTAAAAGTTGCCTTGTTATTTGGGACCAAGGGATTGCTTGTTCTTCACTAAATTAGTTGATCTATAAAAAGAGTACCTATGATGAAATAACAATCAGTTTATTTTTTTTAAAAATGATTGGTGAATGCCAAGAGAATCCCATGTTCTAGGGGTTTGGTTCAACAGTAAATGTTGTGCTATGTGGAACGCGAAAATGTGCTAGGTGTACATCACACGTTTGAAGTTTGGGTGTTATATCAAATTTTGTATTTAATTGAATAACAACATTGTGATAAATCCATTATCTCAGTAGTTTCTCGGTCATAAAAAATATTTGACGAGAGAGTCCACAAGATCATGCTGTTAGGACAATGTTCCAATTTCAGCTTCCAATTTCGTTTTTAGAGGGTTGTACAGAGGTGATAAATGATTTTAAGATCCATGGGTATTTATGCTTGTCATGTCTCATAATCCAGGACTATGTTGCTCGGACTCTTTAAAAATGTCAAGAGGTGCATGTCGGATTCGCCAAAAGTAGTGCATTTTTGAAGAATTCATTTGTAGTTTTCATGATTCATTTTTCTTGATATTAGGCTCGAACAAGCAGAACAAAATCGCTAAGAAAATCTCGAGTACATTTAGTTGTCAAGCGTCATTGCTGAAGAACTTATAGCATGTCACCTAATATCTGAAAAATTCTCAGATATATTGCTCTTTTTTCCTGAAATTTTTCAATAGGGAAGCACCATTCTTCAGGCGATATGGTAATACCATTATCTACGAGCAACAATATCTATAAATGTATAACAATTTTTCAGATGCTTCTCCTACAAAATGATCAGTTGAGCATCTTTCGAAGATCTGCAATCAGCCATACTGCAAATGCAGTTGGTATAAGCCTCTCGACGATGCATTCCAAAGTAACTTAGTAAGAAATCCTTCTCCATAACTCTTTATGAGTTTAGTTGACCACATATTTTTTATTTAAGTCAAACAAGTAACTGATAGTATTCCTACTTTTTTTTGAATATGTAGCCAAGATTTTAAAAGCTAAGCTTATATATGTCATGTACAGGCAGGTAATGGTAGAAACTCAGGGAGTTAATGTTTATTGGAATGCTTGCATATTTGAGTGTTGACATTGCGCCCTTTGTTAGCTGCTCTTCATCTATGACGATCTTTACGGTTGTTTTTTTTTTCCGGCATCTTCTGCGTTCTGGCTTTCGTAAACAATTCTTATTTCTCTTTTCTCTTCGGTTGTTGCTTTAAATTTTCTTTTTATGTTTTTGTTCGTTCCCTGCTTAACATTCAAAACAAGAAACGTACCTATTGTTTTGATAGTGAATCAAATTCCAAGCAAGATGAGAAGTTATGGACCCATGCAGGAAAGGGTCATGAGGCTCAGGTTTAATTCAAGAATAGCCAACATAGACGAAGAAAGATTGATTTTAACCCTCAAAGGATGCATAGAAAGAAGAATAAAAAAAGACCAAAAACAAGGAAAGGAAGAAGAGATCAAATACAACCAGGAAACTGCAATAGTATTTGAAAAAAAAGAACAGAATGTTAAGCAGGGAACGAACAAAAACATAAAAAGAAAATTTAAAGCAACAACCGAAGAGAAAAGAGAAATGAACTTTTGATTTTTTTAAATGTATACCCTTTAATGCTATGGCCCTGAATTTTATAATTAGAATGGTAAATGGAGTAGATCGCTGCTTGAAAGTTGTTATTGAATGAATTTACTACTACTAAATATCCTAGATGTCTAAACCAACTATGCTGCATCTTATATTTCTATTTTTCCTTATACATGCAAGTAATTCCCTGCTTTGGCTATGTCATGGTACAAGTTCTAATGCTCATTGTGTTGTGAATGTGAGAGAAACACTATTTCTACCTAATATTTGAAGTTGTTGGAAGATGTTGAGTTGAAACATCAAAAGGTCCATGTATATTTTACATTTAAAGTTTTAGAAATACCTGTTGTAAGAGAGTGACTTTTGATGAGATTATATGCTAGATGTCAACAAATGTATTTTAGGATGGATAAGATAGTTAACATTTATTGTTGATCATTGGATAAGCTATTTTATTTATATGACTTGCATTTTTGTTTTAAGATTAGAGTTGGAGTGTTCTTAGTCCTCCTCGAGATGTTACATTTAATATGCCGGATCTGTGCTTAGAACATGCTTCTCCTTTGTGTCACCACCAAATAAAATGTTCTATTCTTTCATTCTCTACTTATTAGACTTCTTTAGTTTTTTTGGAAACTATGCACTTGGAGCATCTATAAGTGAGCTCTTATAAATATAAAACATTGGACCATTAGAGTATTCTAATACACAATTTGAACTTAAAAGTACAAACAGTGATGAGGTTCCCAGATCCTCAAAAAATGTATTATGCATTTTCTCTTGACTCTTGAGTCACAATTTTTTTTTATTACAAGGGAAACCCGCAACCGCTACCCTTTGGGTGCGCACAGGGTAAAACCCCCGCTCCTATGCAATAGCTTGCAAATCACATAGGAGAGGTAACCCGCACTAGGCAAGCCCGGTGCGACGAGCTCGACCCAGAAGGCAAACCCCTTGCTTTCGCAAGCAAGGGGTTTCGAACTTGAGACCTCCAAGTCCCAAGCGCAAACCACTGGGCCACCTCTTGAGTGACAAATTTAGCTTAGCACTTTTTATGTCAAATGATAATTTGTATCTGTCCAGGAGAAAAATCATATCTGATAGTTCTAAGAATTGACCGAACAATGTTTTGAACCTTAGCAAAGAACAAGGTTAACATTTAAACATATATTGTCATTGTTTTTATTCAATTTTTTTTTTTATATTTTGTTCTTTTGCTTAGATTTTATAGTTGTGTTTGTTTTTTTTTTAAAAGAGAATTTTCATGCAATTTAAGGTTGCACGATAGAGATCAATGGTAACTCAGAGTAGGTTTATCTCTATTGAATAAATTTTATGATTATTATTCATCTTCATTTCTGGTACTGTAGCTAAACTTACTGAAATACATATCTTACATTTTGATATTACAAAATTAGGAAGGAAACTTATCAGTGAAAAATTATTGAAAAAGCTGCATAAGTATCAGCATTTCCTAACGGATTAGCTGCATAGTACAATGATGCATAATCTTTAACTCGATTGGATGTACCTCCTTTACGGGACTTGGCTAATCTAGAGTCCTTATTTTAATTGATCCGCCAGTATTGCTTTATGTTACACTACTACATGTTATTGCGATAAATTATGAGGGTTTTTTCTGAGGTCAGCTATATGACATCAATTAAGTTGATATTTTTCTTTTCTATAAAGAAAACTATAAATCGTCAAGAACACAGAGATATTAGAAAATAAAAATGCATTGAATAAAAGTAGGCTTAATATCTATTCTTATGGTTTCAATAAAATAGATTTAATCTAAAGTGCCATATTGTGATTGGTCAAGCTAATCTATAGTTTGCAGTGTCTAAACTTTCATGCTTATTGTATTTTGAGGTTTATCTTTTAGATTTTTGTTTTCTTATTTATTTTTTCCTTGAGACATTTTACCTACGCATCATTTGAAAGTTCTTCCTCTTATTGCATAACTTTAAATTTGAGAACTTCACAGCTCCTTCCGCGTGGCCAAATTCATCACTTTCTTGCCCTGTTATTTAGTTATTCAAGCTTTTTGATGAACTTTGTGTAGATTTTCTGGTATTAGATATTTGTATGGTTCTTCTGTTACTTTTTTGAGATATTAGGTAAAGTTTTAATCAATAATCTTACGTGCTTTTAGGATTTTGTTGTGGATACCTTGGCAAAATTAGTTAAAGGAACAATTGTTTTTATTGTAGTTATATATATTTAAAGAGGACCCTAACGACTATCCTGTTGTTAAATTCTTTAACAATAACAATACCAAGGTGACATTTCCATAATCTATTCACATTATATTTTCTACTTTGATTATGATCATCTTGTCGCTATCTGAATCTTCATCTGCTCACCAATTCAATTTTTTTTGTTATAATGTTTCTACATTAGAAGCTTAGATGTAAGATGTGTATCGAAATTTTCTCTTCTTGTTATTTTCTTTTATTTTTAGACATTCACCTTGGATTACATTAATATACTTGAATGTTGTCACTACTATTGATCTTATGAACCTAAGGAACAAGTACTTAGATCCTTTCAGATTTTAAGGATAATACTGAAATTGAATTGAAAGTGCACAATACACCTGATCTAAGATTCACCCATGAAGACTACGAAAAATGTTGCAAATTGTCATGGTACTGAAATTTTGTGAACAGGTAGCTTCATGCCTATATAATGGTTGCTTAAAAGTTACTATATGTTTCTAACCCATCAATTTGAATAGTAAATCATTTTTGATGATACGTACTATTTATTGATGATTCGAAACAAAGTTCAAGTGGCTATGTACTGAACTAACAATGTTGTCTTTATCCCTGTTTAATTTTTTCAGTAGACAAGTTTTAATAAATTTAGTTTGAGATATATTTTGAGCATGTTATTTGATTAATTATATTATTTTCTTGAAAATACAAGTGGTGAATTGACCTAGATATGTTTTCCAGTAATTGTGTGTTGAACTGTTTATCAAATTTTTGGTAGCTTAACTAGGTGATCATTAATGCATTTATTCATATTGTGCAGTTTGAATAAGACGCAACGGTTGAAATAAAGCTAGAGTTGTATACGGTCAGCAATCTATATTGTTTGTTTGCTTTTTCTTATCAATCAAATGTTGTAAAAAAATTAGTTTCTTATTTTAGTTAAACTTTCAACAAACACGAAAGGGCTATGGACATTCCTCCATATCTGAGGCACTTTTATAGTATCTTTGTAAATATAAATTTGCATTCCTTACAACTTTGTAATACAAATAATTAATTTCAATTCGTCGGGCCTTTATCTTAGCATGGGCATATTATATCTAGTATAATTAAAAATCTCATTTATTACATGGCTCAATTTCATTGTTGTGTTTTAAAATTAACCTAAACTAATCAAATTCAAATTCATATCCAAATCTATCTAATAACCTCATATCCGCCTCACCCATAATCCCATTAAACTAACGGGAAAAAAAATCTTAATTTTCATTTATTAATTAATCTAAATTTAATTTGTTCTTCATATAATTGTTCATCTTCTTCATTGAACCCAACTATTAAATTCATCCAAGTCACCTTAATCCATCTACAAAACCCTTCAAAAATAAAATACAACTTCACAATGACACCAAGAATAATAATTTGAATCACCCACTTCAAAATAAACAACAAATTATATAGAAAAATTTGACATCTCCATTAGAGGTTCATCCTAGCTTCAATGATGTTCAACATATTTTAAACCAATTTTTCTTCGTCTTAATATTCAAATACAATACAAATCATATTTCAAGCTCTAAATCATACACTTCCTAAAATTACAATTTATCCACTGATTTTGATATTTGAAGGATTTCTAATTCGATTGAGGTTCTTTTTAAAAGTTGTAAGTTGTTCAATCTTTAAAGGGATAAGGGTCTAAAAAATACCCAAACTTTGGTCGAATTTGCTGTTGCGATACTAAACTTTCATGAGAACCTATTACCTCCCTAGACTATTTAATACCGTATTTTAAACATATATATTTTCCCACGTGGACATAAAAAATAATGCAAAATTATAAATAGTAATATGTCCACGTGGGCACATATATACATTTAAAATACACTATTAAATAGTTAAGGGGGTAAAAAATACGGTATTATATAGTCTAGGGAGGTAAGAGGTCCTCATGAAAGTTTAGTATCGCAACAACAAATTCGACCAAAGTTGGGATATTTTTCAGACCCTTATCCCATCTTTAAATATAATCAACTTTGAAGTATATTTGGTTTGACCTAATCTGATTTAGTTGATTTAGTGAATAAGATGAAAAAAAAAGTTGAAGGAAATTATTGAAACTCCATTTATGAAACCGAAGAATTTTGCATCTCAATTTCAAAATTGGAGAACTGGAGTTTGTAGACCTATAGTTTGAATAGCTTTGAAAATCATTTATTGCACTTAATTTTAGATTTACTTAATAATTTGGGGATATATTTAAAGGAAATTTAAAATCACCACCGAAGAATTTGAAAAAAAAAAACTTGAAGAACCAAATCTATGAGAATAAAAGTTTTTCTGTTAGCTTAATGAGATTTTTAGGCGGAGTGGATATTATGTAGATCCGAATTTGGGTTGATATAATAAGTTTAGGATAATTGTAAAATACATCAATAAAATTGTGACACGTAATAAATGAAAATTTTAATTATTTTTTAATTATGGACGTAAAAAAGAAGGGTATTTTAGGATCAATAGGTTGACGTTAAGGGCATTTTAGAGCCAAAGGTTAACGAAGAATATTTTTGTCCCAAATTCGATAGTTGAAGGATATTTTAGGCTCTTTTTCGTTTAAACTAACAATACAATACAAAAGAACATGTAACGATAATTTAAACAAGGTGTCAAACATACAATTTAAGAAAGGAAGAAAAACTTTAGAAGTTCAGTTTAAAATAAATTATACAAGTATGTGGGGGTTATATATTATTTTATTAAGGATAAGATGAGAATTTTAAAGTTAAATTATTACTAATATAAAAATGTGTCGTTCTTTTTTATACTGACTAAAAAAAATAGCGAATAAGATAAATCGGAACAAAAGAATATTGTAGGACATATCCTTTTTAAATGTATAAATTATAAAAATATACAACTTAAAACTTTTATTAACAATATATACACATACTTTTATTTAATTACAAACATAGTTTATAAATTACCTACATATAAGATTAATTAATTTTTGATTTTAATTTAATTATTTAATTGCAATTTTCTTCTCTCCTCCTTTTGGGATTATGTGTCTTACTTATCTCTCCAATTAGAGTTCTTAATATAAACGTTTCTGTCTTTTCAAATATTGTTTTATTTTCTTCCTTTTTTATTCAATCAATGTAAGTAAAAACTTTTTATGTTTCCAATAATTCACTTTTTTCTAAATTTTCATTGCGAGAAATTTCAGTCATTGTCCTTCTCTCTTATGTTCATATTCATCGGTTAATCACTTGCACCATTTTTTTATTTCCGCTTAAGTTCATCATTCAAGATTATATTTTCATAGTTTGGTTAAAATTTGAGGAGGAAGCCCAGAAAAAGTTCTAGGCTTAACAAATCAATTATAGTTGTTGGTTGAAGATCCAATGACAATTGTTGATGAATCAATGTAGGTATATTGTATTTATTTAATAGTTTGGTACTATAAAATATTTGGATTCTGATTATTGTTCTATTTTTTTTATAGTGATTGTGGTTTGAATACTTGTGCTTTCACAGAGTTTGTTTGTTGAGGAGATATGAATATTTCAACGTCAATTTTTTATGCTGCAGATTTTCATTGGAGATATGAAGCATTACTTTGGATCTATGAAATGAGGAAGATTGACACTGATACTGTTAGTGAAAGTGAATCAACTGAAAGTGGCAGACAGTTGATTCGAAAAGGGAGGGATTGAAAAGAGCATGTTATGTTAAGAAAGAATTTTATAAAATATGGTTATTGAATTGTTGTTCTTTGTAAAATGTTATTATTACACTTTTGGATATCAGCTTAATTACTATTTTCAATCAGTTTTGGTGTTTATTTTGTGTTGAATTAACTCACAAATACTTTAATTGATATTTTCCATCAGATTTTGGTGCTTTTTTTTGTATTTCGATATGTTTTGGTTCTTAGTTGTTTGTGTATATATTGTCAAGTTTAATAGTTCATTGTGTGAGGTTAGTATATTATATCAACAATTCAGCCATTAATATA